TTCATTCCTATCAGGTGGAACAGATATGCGTAGTATAAGACGAGACAATTTCGTCAATTTTTGCCACTGATGGATCAACATACTTATTGTAAATAATGAAAGCACCATTAGTTTGTGGAAGATAAAGATATAGTAAAAAAAAGGCCTGAAAATTAAATAAATGGGTGAATTGAAGGAAAGATATATGTATTAAGCGGCCATTTTGGAACCGAACAACAGTGATGACTTATCACTGGTTCGCACTTAAGCTACATTTCACATTTCTAGAATTTAACCCTTCTTTTTTCTACTATAATCAAATTCGATCAAAGGTACAAAAAATAGCCTTCTTGGCTTTATATTTATCTTTTCCAAACTTTAAAATTTCTTTTATAGTTAGGAAGCGGTATTTACGGTTGAGACACGTATAGATTTGAAGCATTAATGGTTGAAAAGGTTTTCAAAGGTCAAATGCATCTGTGGCTAAGACGCCTTCCTTTTTAAAAGGTATATATTAGACATATAGAAAAAAACTTATCTTTAGAAGCCAATAACCAGGAAAATAAGCCACTATAATTTCGGAAAAAAAATCTGTTAATGAAAAAACTGCGAAATTCGTCCAATAAATCAACCAGCGAATTTCTTCATCTTTATTCGATGTTCGTATCGCCTTAAACAGTCTCAATTCATTAGCTGTAATAATTTAGTGATTTGAAGAAAACTTTAAAAAATATTATTTCCCAGTCTAATTTCCTAACAACTCTTCTTTGCATAAAATTTATTTGAACCGACTTCGTTCCTACTTTGATATATTTTAACTTTAAAGCTTTGCAAAAATAACGTAGATACCATTAATGCTGATATCTCACTGAATGGATGGCCAATTAGTTATTTGTTAATACTAATATTATCTATTTTTGCTTTGATCGATCCATGAACTACTAGGATGAAGTCTTTTCGCCATAAAATCACTTTCTTATAGAATCACAGGTTTTACTTCTACTAAGCGACGAGTGACAGTGCCGAAACATGGTACTTGAGACAATTATGTAAGCAGTGCTCTAATCGGTCATACTGTTGCTACCAGAATTGCATAACGGTATATGCAAAATTAAAGAAACATGAAATATAAAGACCAGTACTTCCATGAATCTAGTACAAAGATAAATTTATCTGATATTCAACAAAATAAATATTTGTAATAATAAATAATAAATATTATTTATATCATTCAGCAAACAACATAAAACTAAAAAACTATCAAATCATTGACCAAAACCAAATTAAAAATTTGTTGAAAAAAGAAAAATCCCTAAATCATAAATTTTTACATCGATTTTCCGAGAAAAAAAGTAAACCATGATAACGGATTGTCTCACCTTTACCGAAGCATATGCTGGATAAGCAAATCCAATGATGGTACATAGAAATTGAGCGAAAGAACCGATAATCATATATACTGCTAACGTCGTAATAACTGCATACAAAAACTTAAAAAATTTAGACTAATTTTTGATCATTTTTTATTCATTCTGATGAGGATCAATTTTTATTTAAATGCTTGAAAGTCAAACATTTTCAAGTAAATCTATATTCCTCTTTTTCCTGTCAGATAATGGTGAAAACTTCGAATTGTTGAAAAATGGATTAAATGCTCTCTAAAAGTAAGGGATACATTAATCAATGGATAGGCCACCATTTATCACCATGGTTTGGCTGGCTCCACTAATTACTACGGTGAAATCGCTTCGCCAGAGAGCAATTTGCAGACAAATATATATAGATTGGGAAATTTGTCAAATTTCGTTTGTTAACTACCTTAACCATAATGTTAGCCAACACTCGACCATCATCCGCGCTTTTATATTCCTTCTCCGCCATATTTTCAAAGAATATGAACAAGATAATACTTTTCCAACATTTCCTTGGTGTTCTTTTATTTTTATTTTTATAATTATTATTTATATATTTATCATTTTCTGAATTTAATCATTTTAAAAAAATTAAATAGGTACCATTCCCTTCTTGACACTCGTTTTCCTTTCAATTTCGCCCATTGCACTTTGGAATGATTCAAATTTGATTTCATGCAAAACTGAATTCAGTACAGACACAAAATCATTGAATGTATTTAATGATCGTTTTTCTTTATTTCCCTCAGTTTCACCATCAATAACCGTTTGTTCCATCTAATTTAATAAAAATAAGAAATTTGGACAGATTTGGAAATAAAACGAAAGGCAAACATTAACGACGCTGTGGTTCGACAAATATAAAATAAAAAATTTTCCTGCCCATATTTATTATTAAAACAACTGAATAGCAACTGTAACAAAAAGCATTCAAAAGCTTTCCCAGTTTTCAAAATTCATTTTGCGGCACTTTTTATAACATAAAATTCCTAAAACAACTATATCTTGGCGTTCCAAGGAACAAGTCTCGAGAAATGACTAAGGGTCAAGATAATTGGAATTTCATATATCGAAGCGTTGACTTTAATGAATGCAATGTGTAAAAGCCCATGGTAATAATAGTAATTACTGAAATGAAAGATCATTTGCATGGGATTCATTTTATTAGTTCATTCACAATGAAACAAAACAAGAATGATGCCGTGCGCTAATATTACCAAGAACTGGAAATATAGTAAACAAAACACAACATAAATAATATAACTTTAAGGCTGTGACAAAAGATTAAAAACATTTCATTTCAATAGTTAATTCTTACTGACAACAACAATCACAAAGGCTTCTTTTTAAAAACAATTACGAGAATTTCTAATTGATCGTAAAAAATGCATCGAAAAAGGATAAATGGCTTTTTTTCAAAAATACGTTTGTTACGTTTTTTTTGAAATTTGAAACTAAAAGACGTTAGAAAATTTCCTAAACAGCAAATTCAAAATAAATATATTATTATAGCAACTCAAATTCATTGAAAGAATTGATATTAAATATTCTGCATTTAAAGCGAGAAAAAAGCGAATGAAACAATTAAAAAATATTGGATAAAAGCAATGTCCATATTATAACGGACGTTTACACTGAATGTCGCCCTTTCAGCGCTCATTAATAATCGCATTGATCACAATGAAACGGCTGATAACAGAAGATGAGTACAAAAAACGCTGCTATGGCTCCATTGGTTTGGCAAATTTCAGAAATAAAAAACGTTATATTATATTAAATGTTATTATAATTGCTAATTAAGAATAGAAGTTCGAGTATCTATATAACTACAGTTTACTCGATCTTGCTATATGGCTGTCAGATATAACCAACAATTGAAGACCTTATC